CGCGGGCCCTCAGTGTCTGTTTGGGGCAGCTGCAACTTATGGAATAATCTGCTGACAAGTTGATTATTTAATAATCAGTTGATAAGCTAGGCGTGATAGCTATTACAAATTTTTATGTTTTTGGAAAAGCCAAACCGCTGTCAGAAAGCTGTCACCACACTTAGATAGGTGCGGGTGAAAATATTGTTTTCAGCGTTTTCAGTGTTTTCAAAACGCATAAGCCGCCAAAACGCAGTTTACCCAAATAGGTCAGGTGCATAGGTCAGGTGCATTTTCAAAATCAAAACGCCACCACACCAAATAAACTGCCCCAGACGGGCCCTAGCTGACAATAGCATCTATTAAAGGTTTGAAACGAAGAAATTTGGCTGGATATGTACAATGAATGGTAGAAAATTAATCCATATGACAAACAATTAAATAGAATATTAATTGATTAGAAAGGAAAAGATCAAAGGTTACATTTCTGGAAGTTTTGCAAAAAAAGATTACGGAACGAAATGAGTGAAGAATGAATGAAGATTCACAAAACAAACTTCAAATTTTGGGTTAAGATTAATGATTTTGTTGTGATACACATCATTTTCATTTTAAATTGCATATTGGGTCAAAAAATTTTAAGAAATTTCCATTGTGCAAAAGGCTTAAGGTATCATTTTGCAAATGATAATATTTAATGTTTCGGATACTTTAATTTGGATAATTCAAAAAAAATTTAAAACCTCTTTCGACCACTTTTATAGCAAATTAGGTAGAACTAAGGCTTCAAAATAACTCATCTGTACATTCTAAGAGAACTACTAAGTAATTTTTTTTTAATTATATTTTCGCATAGGACTTCAATAAATGTTGTTTAAACTCACTCATATAATGGAACACCTGTTAAACCTCCAAACTAATCCATTTAAAACAAGGTTGCCTTGGAGGATTCTGCTGTGAAGAGAGCAGAGGATATTGTAACCACAATTATTGCCAAGAGCTTCATCCTCGGAAAGGATGCTCTCAATACTGCCAAATCCTTCGACGAACAACACCACATCACATCAAACGCCACCGCCACGGTTGCCTCAATCGATCGCCGATTGGGTCTGAGCGAGAAGATTAGCATGGGGACGACAATGATGAGCGAGAAGATGCACGAGGTCGACAAACGATATCAAGTATCCGAAATCACAAAGTCAGCTCTAGCCGCCGCCGAGCAGAAGGCGAGCACTGCAAGCTCTGCTGTCATGGCCAACCACTACGTGTCCACTGGTGCGTCGTGGTTATCAAATGCCTACAATCGAGTCTCCAAGGCGGCCGAAGACGTGACTTTGATGACTCGCGAGAAGGTGGGGAAGGTGGAAGATGAGAAAAATGAGATCATTTACAGGGAGAGGAAGGAGATGCTCAGTGATTTTGTAGAGTTTCATTTGGATGACTCTTACGGGGAGCCAGCAACTGTCCCTGTAGCCTCTGCTGATGAATATAAGAAAGGTAGGTAGTGTATAAAGATTGCGTAGCTTTCATCATTCTTTATATATATGGATTTCATTATTTGTTTTGGTTATATTTTAATTTGGCAATTCATTCATTTCAACTGTCTCAGATCTCGGCATTATGTACTATAGAGTTGGGTGTCTGTTTCCAGACTCTTAATTCTTTTACTGCTGTTGTGATTTAGGAAGTAAAATTCTCTTACATTGCATGGATTTTTATGAATTAAATGAAACTTAGCAAATTATTTAATATTTTTGGCAATTTGATTCCAGTTAAAGCAGAAAACCCTCATCATTTATGTAAATCGAAAATCATATATATATATATATATATATATAGTAAAAGGAATGGCCGAAGGCTATTAGACAAGCCCCGACGATCCTAGGTGTGTTAAATATTCGAGTACCACATCCTACACACGGGGGGATTCGAACTCATGTCCTGAGGGGTCTTACGGCCTTCAGATATGCTGCGCTACCAACAGGCTACAGTACGCACACATCAATATATATATATTATTTTTTGCCTTAACAAATTCTGAGAAGAAATTGGATCACGTAAGGAGGATTCGTGTTTAAACGTTCAGCATGAAGTCAGTCGGCTCATGAAGCCGACCGAAGGAAATATTGACCAACATAACGAACACCATGTGACCAAAGATCATTCTTTCAACCAGCGTTTGTCATTACAAAAGTTCAACATTCTATTGAAGACCATTCAATCGGCATAATATTACTCAGTTAGCCGAGTGATTATGAGCCAACTAAATGAATACTGAATGTCCGTGTTCGGCGGTTACAAATATATGAAGTGGCATCAGGAGCAATGATAGATGTAGAGTAACGCTAATGATGGTTACAAGGCCAAAAAATATATTATTCAGTTAAAAATATTTAAAGATGTAATATATTATAAATTATAGTATCATTCCGATTAAATAGGGGGACAATCTTGTAATTTGTGATACCTTATCGAAGAGTTATAAATAAAAGGATCATTTTCATTGGGAGGGCATCCCAAAAAATTTCCAAAAAACTAAGCATTATTTGTGTCTTATTTTTATTTCATTCATTCGACCAACGCTCTGTTCATTGGTCGTGATTCCCAAGACAATTTCGGATCCAACATCCTAAAAAGTTCAGTGGGCGTGGAATAATTCTTTCAACAAGACGATAAACACGTCAAGGTGAAGGAATACATCAAGAAGAAGCATCCAATGTGAAGTCCGTTCTGGAATTTATGCAACAACAAATCCAAGGACTCCATGATCGATAGCAAGTCAAATTGCGGAGTGGCTCGAGTGGTGCTTGAGCGAAGGGCACAGTCTCTCCCGCAACTTGATAAGGAGACTCTAGAGATATCTACATTCCTTTGGTCATGATTGTGATCTTGGTAATACTTACAATACTTTCTTGCATCTCAGAGAAAACCTCCGACCCTCATCGGTGCGGGTTCCTTAAAATGTTCTTTTTCATGGATGGCTTCCACAATTTCTGCCATTGATATTCTCAAAACAGTAGCTTGCAAGCCCTCGTAATCATTGTATGGTTGTTCATAGTGTTGTGCTGGCCTCTCATAGTACCAAGCCAGCCGCAGATCACGTTTCCTCGTCTAATCACTGTGCTAGATGTATTGACCTGTCCTTCAAAGGACTAGTTGTCTTCAAACTGGCGTCAGATGGGTGGCATGTGTTCCTGACGCCTTTCTACTTCTCGCTTGGGGGTACTCTCCTCCGCGAGATTGTGTTAGTTGGTTTTCTCCAGTAGCTCGACCAAGTTTTGGGTTTTGTTTACTCTGTGTTTGTAGGAAAAAATCCCAGACCCCAAGCCTTGCTTTAGGTCAGCCACAGATTTGTCGACTTTGAGGTCTTTAATCTTCACCATTTCTCTCTGGAAGCATGCAATGAATGTGTGCAGGCTCTCATGTTGATCTTGCTTAAGCTTCCACAAGGATTGCATGCTCTTGGTGGGTTTCCGGGCACTGACAAACTGTGCCAAGAACAATCTCCTTAAATTAGCGAAGTTGTTGAGTCTCCCAACTAGAAGTGCATGGAACCACTTCAAGGGGGACGATCCCAAAGTGGTGAAAAACAAACAACACTCGAACGTTCAAGATCTTGAGCAAGCCCAAAACCGACTCAAATGCAGTGATATGGTCAATGGGGTCTGATTGCCCCTTGTATGCCTCCAAAGCTGCCAATTTGAATTTTTTAGGGGCTCCACTCTAGATATCTGGAGGGAGAAAGGATTCTCTAGCTGACGAGGCACCTTAGTGTGCCCTAACTGTTGCCTCTCCACCTGCGCAAATGTCACGTTGTTTTGATACTTGGATTCGTCGGCCCCCTCAAGATAGTTGTTCATCCTCATGTCGTGCGCCGGTGCCACTTCTTATGGTTCATTCCGCTTTTGAGGCCCAATTTCCTGCTATGTTTGTCACGGCTCTCAAGACTTCGACAATCTGGCCCAACACCTACTTCATGATCTGAGTCCTCATCTCCCCCATCCCTCGCTGCATATGTTCCTCGATGTCAGCTCATGGGGATCTACATTAGTTACTACTCTTTGATCACCCTCTTCTCTTTGTGATCACGGTGCTCCTCTTCTTGTCGGCAATGTGACTCCATAATTACCGCACCTTTTAGGATGTTGAATCCAAAACTGTTCGAAAGATACACCTAAAGAATAGAACTCCCAAAGAAAAGAGAGACAAATTAAGGAGAACAATAACACACTTTTGAACAGTAAATTTGTGTAACTTTTATTCATGAAATAGACTCCCATTTATAAGAATGAGTCATCATAGTATTACATGTTGCACCCCTGGAGTATGTAGGTACGGTAGGGGTATTTAGTCTATATATAACTATATAGGGTCTGTTTCACTTTTTCGGCTATCCTGGTTGAAAGGCGTCGAGTTCACTCGAGTATATCTGGTCAGATAGCTTCTTGAGGTGTTGATCTGCTCTTTATCCATCTGAGGTGCATTGTCTTCTTGATACGTGGGAGCTTGTCGGCTGAGCGTGCGGTCCTGAGCCATCCTTGATGGGGCCCATGGTGCCACATCACCTCTTTAGCCATACCTGAAATGCTTTGTGGTTATATTTAATTAAAACCGTTCTTTTAATTTTTTTCAAGGCTTTTAGGTACATACCCCCCCCAATTGTTATGTATTTACATATCCAACAAATACTTTATATTCACATACATAACACTCATATCTTTAATATTGTATCAAGCATATGGCTATCACTAACTTCTTAGAAAAAACAAATATATATTTTCGTGCATAGGTTATGACACTAAAGCGTTATAAACATGAATATCAAACTTTTTGTTGTTACATATGCAAATGCATAAGAATTGTTTGGTATTCATGTAATTTTCTTCCGTTTATAGGGATCATTTAAGACCACTTTTCATTTTTGTTTATTTATTTATTTATTTATATTTTTTTACTTAAAAAAAACACATATTTGATATGTTATAACATTTTGTCATTTTCAAAAGTAATTAAAATAATTTTTCAGTATTTTGAATATTTTTAAAAACTTGTTAATTTGTTTTTTTTTTAATAAAAAATAAAAGGGACATTTTCATACACATCACTTAATTCCTATGTATTTATCTATATACCTTACTATTGCCTTTTACATTTATACCAACGAAATCTTTGATATCATCTCAAAAAAATCACTTTTTTAAATTTTAATGTGAAATACATCTGGTATATATATGTAAAAAAAAATTAAGTTTTAATTGCTAGATAAGCAAATACATAAGAATTTAGTGTTGTACATGTAAATCTTTGAAAATAAAATAATGCAAAAAAAAAAAAACATGTTATTAAAATAAAAATAAATACCAAAAAACAAAAAAAAATAATAATAAAAGTCACCTAAAAAATAAGCAATTAAAATACTTCATTTTATTTCCAAATAATATAATCAATCTCTCTCTCTCTCTCTAGAAATGGTCAAAGTCCAATTGATAAAGGGAAACTTGCATCCCAAGCCTATTGTACCAAGCAGACCATGACTTTTGACTAATCACAACTCCAAATTCCCTCCTATAATTACCCCTTAACCAAACACAAGTTCTTTCATCACTTTGGAATTGAAGCCATGGTGTGGGATAATAATAGCTTTCTCACCCACTACTTCCTCTCTTTTCTCTTCCCTGCTCCCCCTCCCCCTCCCAAAGAAGACGATCAACCTCGCCTCAACAACGTTGCAGCCCAGAAGCATTTTCATCAAAGTCTTCGTGTTCTTAGATTTTAATTTTTTTTTTTTTTTTTTTTTTTTTTTGCTATAATAATAAATATTGTTTGAGGGATTTTCATGAGGAATTAAATTAGTTTAATATTTTTGTTTTTCATCTCCTTTCTGCGTCTTTGTGATGTATTTTATTTATTTATTTTTTCTTTTAAATTATATGTTTGCTTTTATTTTAAAAAATATATTTATTTTTTATATTTTTTTGTATATTTTTAAAAAATAAATCAACTTACTTTTTAAAGCAATCAAAATAAATTCTAAACATTTCAAGCATTTTTAAATATAAAAAATCGGATACATTTAAATTCAAATTAAAAGATAAACAAAATTAAAAAAAAATTAAAAAAAAATGATCCCTAATTGCCTTAAAAATATATTTTTGACAAATTAATGAATGAAAAGCCACTAGAAAAACATGAGCTTTTATAGATAAGAAACTAATATAATCGCATTGGGTTTAAAGAAAATAAATTCAAGACAATATTGCTTAGATGCCTCTCTTGACTTTCGTAAGAACTTAATGTTTGGATGCAATTACACGTTGATATTGTACATTGAGAACGTGTCATCATGAATCTCGAGAAAATCTAACGATCCAACAGACATAAAAGTATAAATAAGAAAGACCCACTAGCAAGAGAAAAATGACACACTTATCAGATGTAAATCCCTAAACCGGGGTTGGAAGCCGATCGAGTATAAACCACTCGAACCAAGAAGTAGGTCTATCGAGTCAAGCAAAGACATCTACTTGCTTATCGCCGTAGCTCGACTCAGGGAAAGAGTTCAGTATCACCAACCGTCAGTTTTTAATTTTTTTTTCTTTAATCTCTCATGCATCTGTTTATGATAAACCCTAAACCCAAAATCATG